TTCAAATATCTCTAAATAAGATAAAGGAAACCAAACCAATAAGTGAGGAAGCAGAGAAGTCTGTATAGTTGCAAGAGGGCACGGAAGCACCATAGGATGTTCCTGAAGAGTTCGCGAGAAAAGTAAGATTCTTGAAAGAAGTTAAAAAGAAACAAGAAGGATTTAAGGCCTGCACAGCAGAGATAATTACAGAATAGAAAAAACTGAATCCATAGTAGTACATCTCTCCCAAGAAGAAAAAGAAAGAACAATTCGTGACACAAACATACTGCAGTCAAGAATAACATGGAAGAACAGAAGCAAAAAGCAATGTTAAAAAGATAACATAAATCTCTAGCCAAGCAAAATATATTTGCGTTTTTAAAAATTTTTTCCAATTACATGCAAAAGCAAATTTTAACATTTTTTAAAATTTTGAATTCCGAATTCTCTCCCTCTTTTAAGCCCTTCCCTTCTCTCTTAAATGGCAATCAATTTGATATAGGTTATACATGTGCAATAAATACATACTAAAATATAATATTATATATTTCCATATTAGTCATGCTGTGAAAAAAAATTAGTTACAGACCCCCCAAAAAAAACATGAAAAAAATAAAGTGAAAAATTATACGCTTCAATCTGCATTTCAGACTAGATCAGTTCTTTCTCTGGAGGTGAATAGCATTTTTCATCATGAGTCCTTGGAATTGTCTTAGATCATTGTATTGCTGAGAAAAGCTCAGTCATTTACAGTTGATCATCATACATCGCTGGTACTGATGGCACTGTTTACAACGTTCTCCTGGTTCTGCTCACTTTACTTTGCATCAGTTTGTATAAGTTTTCCCAGATTTTTCTGAAAGTATCCTTCTTATTATTTCTTATGCTACAGTAATATTCCATTACAATCATATGCTCCAATTTGTTCAGTCTTTCCCCAATTGACGGGCATTCCCTTAATTTCCAATTCTTTGCTGCTACAAAAAGAGTTGATGTAAATATTTTTGTACTAATAAGTCCATTTTTTAAAATCTCTTTGGGATACACAGCTAGTAGTGGTATTGATGGGTCAAAGGGTATGTACAGTTTTATAGCTCTTTGGGCAGAGCTCCAAATTTCTCTCTAAAATGGTTGGATCAGATCACAATTCCACCAAGTGCATTAGTGTCCCAACTTTCCCATATCCTCTCCAACACTTATCATTTTCCTTTTCTGTCATATTAGCCAATCTGATAGGTGTGGGGGGGTACCTCAGAGTTGTTTTAATTTGCATTCCTCTAATCAATAGTGATTTAGAACATTTTTTTCATATGACTATAGACAGATTTGATTTCTTTGTGTGAAAATGGCCTTTTCCTATCCTTTTCACCATTTGTCACTAAGGAATGACTAAAGCAAAATACATCAATCTCAAGACAGGATGCATAGAAACAACTTTACGGTCATAGATGTTTCAGAGGAACATGATAAGAAAAAAAAAATAGCTGAACACTAAAATGCAAGAAATGATACAAGAAAACTGCCCAGAACTTCCAAATATAGAAAAGAAAACACCAATCAAAACAATTTAGAGATTTCGCTGAGATAGGGACAAGCCTACACTATGAATTTCAAGACACATAATGGTCAAAGGACAATTTGGATGACAACACAATCTGTAACTGACCAGAAGGAGCACCTTCAAATATAAAGGAAAGGAAATTTGAATAACACAAGACAATTCTACAACCACAAAAAAACATGAAAGGGAATGGAAATAACATATTTTGAAAAGCAAAAGAGCTCAACACAAAACCCAAGCTTACATACCTTGCAAACTTGAGCCTAATCATCAATGAAAAAAGACGAACAGTCAGTAAAAGGCAGGTATTTGAATTATTCCTACAATTGTCCAAAAGCAACACGGCCTCCTCTTCCCACTGTATTCAGTTTTAGGCAATACACGAGAGACTAACATTAAAACAGAGTCCAGATGTGATGGCTCCAAAATTACTGATGAAAAAACAGTAAAATCATCATAGATCTTTTCATGTTTTATCAATTTGTTGTTCTTCCAGACTCATCTGCCTTAAATGATTCTCTTGCCAAGCTTTCTACATACTGATTTTTCCCTTCACTTACTTCTTATTGTTTTACGAAGTAGTTCTACCATCTTTGTTCATAAGATTTCACAAATTTATATTCTAAACCAGCATTGCCCTTGGCTGCCAAATCTCTCCTCCAGGCAAACACATTAAAAGTTTGCTGGCTGTGGCTGTTTTTGTCTCCTGATTGTGATGACTTATTTGCAGTAGTAAAACTTCTTTGGGAAATGGTAATAGTCTAAGTCATTGTCTGTTCTCTTATTCATTTCCCATTCTTTGACATCAGCATTTTGTATAAATCATGCTGAAACTCTCGGTCACAACCATACATCATAACTTCTCATTTTATTTTTTCTTCTAATGCAGAATTGGTTTTGAACTTTCTTGTAACAATTTGGTGTTCTCACTACACACATCTCCTTGAGAAATAACTCACACAGTGGTGACAAGTCATTTTCTGACTCTTAAAATATAACCCATTTCATTTTTTGTGCTATGATTTGATTGCTTGATGGGTTCAATACCTCCTAACTTCCTTATGTTTAAAAAAAACTCTCAATATATATTATTTTGCCAATACTATTACTTGCCAATAAATAATTACATTTCCTTATAAAAACAGCTAAGGAAAACAATCTAACAATGATTGGCACATTTAACATTCTGCTCCAATAATTTTATATTTCTTAATAGGAAAGAAGAAATGATGCTTAAACATCAGTCACGGAGAAACAATACTGGTTCTTGTATTTGATGTCCCGTGGGTCCAATTATTATCTCTATGCAGATGATAGATATTTTTGTTCCTAGAAATATTTTTCCTCTCAGTAGTACATTAGCTGTGCTACATAAATTTTGATATGTTACTTATCACTTTTATTATTCTCTTCCACGTAATTATTTATCATTTCTTTGATTTGGTCTTAACTGAGCCATTATTTAGTGTATTGCTAGTTAATCTATATTTAGGTCTACATCTTTTGTTTATATCTTCATTATTGGGTACTATTTTTAATGTGTTACAGTCCAAAAGTCCTACCTATGACATATACCTTGAACAAGTCACTTATACTCTTAGTGCTCTGGGTAACTCTCTAAGACTCTAGAAACTGTAAGGACATTGTCAATCTTCATTGGTAAATTTTCCTTATCTGGGATTTGCCTCTGCCAATGGAATCACAGAACTAGTCCCTATCATTCTAGTTCTGTCTGTAAAAGAGGCACTAAGTGTAGGAGTAGACCATGGGGCTCAGTGTAAGAAAGGCCCAGGTTCAAGCACTGTCCCTGAAACATACATCCTAATAGTTTGAGCTGTCAATGCTGAATTTTCAGGGCAGTTTTCCTTGTGATGAAGTCTTTCCCATGCCCTCTTTGTTATTTGGTGTTCATTTATTGTTTTTTACCATTGAGCCAATGGAAGGGAACTCAATTTAGACACAACATCTCTCTCATGCATCTTGTCATGCTATTTTTTTATTTTAAAATTGATTTTTTTATCATCAAATATCCACCTTCTCTCTCTTTGACTTTTTCCCTGCTCCAACTGATAACAAAAGAAAAACAAAGCCCTTGCCACAAACTGGTAGAGTCACGAAAACAAATTTTCACATTAGTCACATATGTACATACTTGTATATGTGTAAATAGATAGACACATCTATGTATATGTTGCATTTACACATTCATGCTGCACTCTACCAATTCCTTTACTGACTCTTAAAGGAGGATTTGTGAGCCATGCTTCCCTTTGGTTGAAATATCCTTTTATCTTCTGATTTCATTGAAAATGAAAACATCAATCTGTATATGGCTTAATTCCTCTAATAGTAGGTCTGTTTTTAGGTCAGTAAAGAAGGATCTCTCACTTTCAGTCCAACAGCTAAATGTTTGTAGACAGCTTAGAAATTGTATGAAACTTAGTATCCTCTGTCTTGTCTTCCATCACTCTACCACTGTTACTACAGATGTGTACAGGGGCCATATAAGAGAGAGTTCCATTTTGCATTTTTATTTTATGAATTTTCATGGCCCTTCTGATGACAAGCCTCTCATTACTTAGCTAGGATGGTCCACTGAAAGTAGACTTGGTCTACTGCTGAGACTCTCACTTTTAACTTCTCCAGCATAATGGAGCCTTCAGAGCTTACACGTTGTTGGCACAACCTTCAAAAACCCAGGTGCACTTCCAGGTCATGTAGAGGCACCAGGGAATTTTGTGCTCCTTCAGTGCTTTCTTCTAAACCATAATGAGTCTCATTTTCAAAGGTATTTCAAGTAGCTAACCATAATCCTAGTGCAGCTATTATAGGGATTTTCATTCTCAAAATTCTTTACTGGGACTTCTAAAACCAATTACATCTAATAGGATATTCAGTCATCTGTTCATATGTAGACTGATCATACACAGACTTCCTCTATTTAGGACAATAAAGGTACAGAAAGAACTAGTATTGGAGCCCATAGAAAATCTGTCTGGTCCTTAATGACAACCCTTAGCTAGATAAGGTTGTGAATACATTTAGAGTTATTTTAACCCCCCACTGCTGTAACTCTTGAAAACAAGAGAGAGCTCAAAAACTACACCTTTTGGAAGAAAAGAGTCAAACCACAGAGAGCTTCCTTGTGGACCTGTGAAGAGCAAAGGTCAGTCACCATCTTAATTTTTAACACTACATTATAAAACATGGACACAAGAGTAATAGGTCAACGTGACCTTAAGTGGTCATAACACCATTTCTGGGCATCTTTCCTCACCTATGAAATGGAAAAGTAAGATTGGACATAGATTTCTGGTTACCTTCCAGCACTAATATACTGACATTCTGTTAGTGTTGTGGTTATTAGCCTTTTAGTTGCACTGTTTGATTTAGTCAAGAAGATATTTGAACAAGAATGTTTTGGCCATCTCCAGCAGAGCAAGGTGGCAGGACTTACTCAGGAAGCAGTACATCTTGAATCAGAGACAGAAGCTTGGTGTTGGAATTTAGGCTCTCCTCTTTCTCCTCCGCCACAACCTTGTGGCTGACAAGCAATGACGTGGTTTCTGACAACAACCGCAAACTGAAGAGTCTCCATTCCACTTGAAAGAAAATATATCAAAAATGTGACCACACTGACATCTAATAAATACAAAATGTGAGTTTCAGGAACATTTTGGTTGATGTGGCTCTACTTACCATTCTGACTTTGAACCAAAGTGACCAAGGGGGGGAGGATATAGTCCACCACCTGAAAGACAGCATTATAAAGACTGGCTCAGATCATTCCAGTGAAAAAATGAAACCCCCCCTAGACCATAATCTGTATTCACTCTACCACAGACACTTCAGGAAAAGTGTCGGCCCGTCAAACAAATACTCCTAGATTCAGATTCTATTTAGATTCCCACTAGCCCAATCAACTTAGTTTACTATGGGACAAGTCACTCAGGGCACAAATGACGGTGGAAATAAAAATAGTCATAGCAATAGCTAATATGTATTTAGCACAGTCCAGAAAGTTTACCACAAAGTTCACGTTATCTACTTTCATCCCCCAACAACTTCTGAGTTAGGTGTTATTTTCCCGATTTTATAAAACAACAACAACAACAGAGGCAGGAAGAGGTTAAGTGACTTGCTTGGGATCACATAAGCAAGCAAGTGCCCGAGGCAAGACTCAAACTCAGGTCTTCCTGACTCCAAGTAAGCACTCTATTATTCACCTGCATGATTTATACCAAGAACATTAGTTTTTTAATGCACATTCTGAGCCCTGAGATAAAATATTAAACAATGTAGGTTTATAGTTATGCTTCAGCTTACAAGGTGACTAATCGCCAGCCTGATCTGGGGGAAAGCACACAACCTACACGTGGCTGAGCACAGGAGGGAGAGAGAGAGAGAGAGAGAGAGAGAGAGAGAGAGAGAGAGAGAGAGAGAGAGAAGAGAGCTGGCTAGGACATCAGAAGACCTAGGTGTGAGCTCTATTTCCTCTGCTTAAGACTGGCATGACCTTGCACCTCTAGGCATTTCATTTTCTCCTCTATAAAGTGAAAGAATTGAACTACAAGGCCCGAAAGATTCCTTCCAGGCCTACCCCTGGGGTTCCAGTGTTTGAACAAGTGCCTCACAGAGCAAACCCTATTTGCTCTGAGACGGTTAATGAGGGTTATTTTACAAACAGAATTCCAGACAACTTAAAGGCACCCTACAGCCTTACTTTGTCATTCTCCCAAACCAGAGGATAATCAATTTTGATTGGGAATCTTCCCAGGAATAACTAAGAATTCCCCAAAATTCTAAATAACTATACACTTAGCCTCTGAATCAACGCCACAGTGAAGTTTTAAAGAATGTCATCTACCAAGATGAGCTATTTTTTGTGGCAATAAACCCATAGTTCTCATTTAAATCAATGTTAATCCTAAGGCATTGAGGAATTAAGATGACAGACCTGGAGAGGTTCAAACTGGACCCAGAAAGCACTTTAAATATCCGGGTAAGTGATGACCCAGACTCTGCTTGAAAAACTTCACCAAGGGGAAATCTACCACCTTTTTACAACCTTATAGATAACTCTATTACACTGAATATCATCTATCTTTTCAGAATTACTACAGATATTGTTCTTGGACTGGTTAACTTGGCAAGCTGAAGCACTGTGATAATAAGGACACTGTATGACAGGATACTATTGTGCCATAAGAAATTACAAGCAGGGTAGTTTCAGAAAAACCTGGGAAGATGTGTACGAACTGATGATACAAGTGAAGTAAGCAGAACCAGGGTAACAATCTACACAGTTACAAGCCATATTGTAAAGATGGTCTCTTGTGAAAGACTAACTCAGATCAATACAATGATCCACACAATTCCAAAAGAGTCATGATGTAAAATGCTATCCATATCCACACAGAGAACTGATAGTCTCACAGTGCACAATGAAGCATATTTTTCCCTTTTTTAATTTTCCTTGCTTTTTTTTTTCAGAATATGACTAATGTGGAAATATGTTTTGCATGACTTCATATGAATAATCAGTATCATATTTTTTTTGCCTTCTCAGTGAGTGGGAGAGGGGGCAGAGGGAGGGAGAGAACTAGCATCTGGAAATAAATATTAAATTAAATTTTATAAAAATGAGGACATTGTTATGAGTTCCTTCTCAGTAAAAAAAAGAAAAAGTCTAGTTTGTGTTTCAGTATTAATGATATCATCCCTAAATTCAACCAAATGTTTTACAAATAACTGCCATTATAAAAACCAAGAGGGCTTGAAATAACATGGACAGTAGAACATATTTGTTACAATTATCAGGAAAAGAACTCAGAATGACACACTGACCTACCTAAAGGTAGTTAGGGACGCATTTAGATGTGAAGAATGGTGTCTTACTAGCTGTGGGACCTTGAGCAAGTGACTGATCTAATCCTATTTCCTTATCTGTGAAATGGGGACAATAACATTACAGCTGTGAACCTTATCAGTTTACCATGAGGATTGAACAAGAAGAACAATTATGACGATTAACAGCCCTCAGATAATGTCATTTTAGAGTAAACAGAAGGAATGAGGAATGTTTATCCTAGATATCCTCGTAAAGACTTAGTGGAGAAAGAAGAGAACATCGTGGGCCAGGCCTAAATTAGGCCAGTCCACTAAGTCTGAAAAGATTGAGAAGTCCAATTTTTTCTAAGTATAAGAGCATGAAAAAAGTGTGTCATTTATAATAATTTTGAAAAATTAGAGATTGAAATATTCAATAACTCCTTTTCAAATAGTTGTGAAAGAGCTTAATACAATGAAAATAAATATATAGTTGATGAGGAAAACAAAATTAAGAAGGATCCAGGTATAGAATACTTAGAAACTTAAATGTGCTTAAATCAGAAGGAAGTAATATAATGCTCCCACAAATACCAAAGGAATAGTAAGCAACTATATGGGAACATTAATAATTATTATAAACCTCAGAGAGGACAGAGAAAAATGAGAGATGGCGAACATAAACTCTATTTTTGGTAAGACAAAAAAACTTGAATATAAGCAAATGTAAACCAATAATGTTGCGTTTTCATCTCTGCAGATCTATGTTACTGAATCTATGAGATGAATTTATGAGAAGAAAATTTATACCTCTCTTAAAAGAACATTTTATTGAAAATATTTCAGTCAAAGTCCTTTACACTGTCAAATAATAATTAATTTGCAAGCACAACTTGCTTTCTAAAATACCTTGGCAACTAAGCCGCTCCTAAACTTGGATCAGAAGCAATAATATACTACTGAATATAAGATAGATGTTTTTGCTGTTCAGTCATTTCAGTCATGTCTGACTCTTCATGACCCCATTTGGGGTTTTCTTGGCAGAGATACTGGAGTGGTTCGTCATTTCCTTCTCCAGCTCATTTTACAGATGAGGAAACTGGGGCAGACAGGGTGAAGTGACTTGCCCAGAGTCACACAGCTAGTAAATGTCTGAGGTCAGATTTGAACTCAACCTCTTACCTAGATGATTAGAGTTAGCCTCCTAACTGGTAATCCTGCCTTCATTCTTTTCCCTCTTCAAATCATCCTGAAGAAAACGGTCATATAGCTAACGCAATGATGACCATGTCTTCTCACTCTCCAAAAATTGTCAAGGACTCCCTGTTACCTCTAGGATAAACTAGGAAATCCTTGGCATGGCTTTTAAGGTCCTATGTAGGCATACCACAGAGATATTGTGGGTTTGGTACCTGATCAGTACAATAACGCAAGTCACATGAATTTCCTTTGGTTTTCCAGTGCACATAAAAGTTACGTTTACACTATGCTGTAGTCTATTAAGTGGGCAAAAGTATTATGTTTTGGTAGCTGGGCAGCAAGTCACTCAACCTTGTTTGCCTCAGTTTCTTCATCTGTAAAATGAGCTGGAGAAGGAAATGGCACATCATTTCAGTATCTTAGCCAAGAAAACCCCAAATAGGGTTATAAGAGTTGGACACAACTGAAAAACCCTGAATAGTGCACATTATGTTTAAAAATCCAATGTATGTACCTTAATTAAAAAATATTTTATTGGAGGATTCTGGGAAGATGGTAAAATAAGGCAGGAAGACAGGTTCTCCTAAATCTCCCCACAAACAACATAAATATTGCCTTAGAGTGAAATTTGAGAGGCAGAAATAACTTAGAGTAGGAATAAAGCAGTTGTCCTCCTAGGAGATCTGGAAAAGAAATAGTACAAGAATTGCTGGACTGCCTAAAAGTTATGATCAAAAAAAGAGCCTAGACACCATACTTCAAGATATTATCAAGGAAAATTGCCCTGGAGTTTTAGAGCAAGAGGGTAAAATAGAAACAGAAAAACTCCACTGATTACCTCCTGAAAGAGATCCCAAGATGAAAATTCACAGGAACATCATAGCTAAGTTTTCTCACTGGTACATGGTACCTTTACAAAAACTGATACATATTAGGGCATAAAAATATTATAGTCGAATGCAGAAAAGCAGAAATATTAAGTGCATTCTTCTCAGATCATAATGCAATAAAAACTATATTTAACAAGGGACCATGGGAAACAATGATTAAAAATTAATTAGAGACTAAGTAACCTAATCTTAAAGAATGAGTGAATTAAAGAAAACTCATAGAAACAATAAATAACTTTATTAAAGAGAATAATAATAATGAAGCAATATATTAAAACCTATGGGATGCAGAAAAACCAGCTAATCAGAGGAAAATTTATATCTCTAAATGCTCAGATAAAAAAACAGAGAAAGAGCAGACCAATAAATTGGCTATGCAATTTTTTAAAAAAAGAGAAAAAGAACATATTAAAAACCCTCAATTAAAAGCCAAATTGGAAATCCTAAAAATTAAATTAATGTTTAATTATTTTTTAAATTTAATTCTTAAGTTAAATAAATTAAATTTTAATTAATAAAGTTGAATGTAAGGAAACCATTGAATTAATAAATAAAACTGGAAAATGGTCTTATGAAAAAAATCAATAAAATGGATTAAACCATCAGTGCATATGATCAAAAGAGAGAAGAAAACCAAAATATTAGTATCAAAAATGAAAAAGGTGAACGTACATCACTAATGAAGATGAAATCAAAGCAATTATTAGGAGTTATTTTGCCCAATTATATGCCAACAAATTTAACAATTTAAGTGAAATGGAGGAATATTTATAAAAATGCAAACTTCCTAGATTAACAGAAAAGGAAATAGAACATCTAAATAAACCTATTT